GATTTTTTCAATTAATAAAATTTCTTTTTTACTTGATTAATTTAGAGTAATTATTTTTTATTTATAGAAATAAAATTATAAAGTATTATACATAAACATATAATAGTTGTGGCCCCAAAAATTAGTAATATACCAAAACTTATATCTTATAATAGGACAACAAATATTTGAACTGAACTTGAGCATATTATAATGACCCCAACCTAAATACAATTACTCGCTCAAGCAAGAATAACACTCTTTACTGTTCACGGTACTTTCGCTCAAGCGAGAAATCCATCACTTGAGCGAGGAGACCTAGAACTAACAGGTATTGTGGGATTTAATTTTGCTCAAGCGATGTAATTATCGCTCGTATAAGAACTGAGATGGATATTACAAAAAATCAAAGTTGGATGAAAAAATGTTCATATTGGCATACCCTTGCTCATAGTAAAAGAACATGCCTCAATGTTGCACGTGCATCTACTTCGCATGATTAGATTATGTTAGTTAAGAAATGTCCCAATGTATGAAACTTAGGAATTTTTCAATTAATAAAATTTCTTCTTTGCAGAGTGGGGATTACCTACAATGTAGTAACTCATGGGCTCATCTGTTATTATAATAAGGATAACTATATTGGCAATAAATCATAATAGGAATATTGGTTTGTTGCATTAATTGTTAATATCCTTCACTTTAGTCCTTTTGTTGTTCAATCTTGTTCATAGCTGAATTAAAGATATGCTGACAAGGTTGCAATTTGCAGTCTAGGGAGTGTATAACTTAAAATTATCAAGGACACATTTTTGAATACGAAAATAATTAGATAAGCCTTTGCAGGTTTTATGAAACAATTATTGCAAAAGGCTTAAGTTAACTAGTGAAGATATAAGATTTGATTATTTTAAAATTATAATTGTTTAGTTTAACTTATAATCGATTATAAATAGATGTAGGTTTCCTCGCTTAAGCGATGGATTTCTCGCTTGAGCGAGAGTTGACCACAAGCTAAAACTCCAACGCAGTTAGCCATATAATGTAACTTGGGTCACCACATATTTCAATCGTTTCTCGCTCGAGCGAAATTATCCATCGCTTGAGCGAAAAAAGACCCGAGATTACACATTAGTTTCAGGTCTAAAAGTAATGAGGGGGAGATTGATGGTAATGTGAAATATGTTCCTACATTTCCAAGAGATGATTTTGATGATGAATCAAGTCAACAATATTCAAGAATCAAGCAAGTCCAATATATGATTTTGATAAAGATTCTATTCAAGATTCAAGCAAGGCCAAGATGATTCCTGAAGACTAGATAGAATCTTAGAATATTAAATATGGAGATACAAGTTGATGAAGTAACATGATATTTTTCCCTGTCATAATTGATTATGATGCATCGGAATTGAAAAATTAATTTTTACCCCGACATAATCGATTATGCTGAGGAGATAATTGATTATGGCCATTCGAAATTCAAAAATATATTTGTTTTGAAGAATAAATGTTTTTGAATATATCCTTATTTTTATCTACGAAAATATGAATGTCCAATGACTATTTTCTGATGTTATTTTTCTATTTAATTAAGTTTTGATGGAAAATAAAAAAACACACAATTACAGAATTTGAAAATACAATTTACATTCAATCAGTTTTGAGAAAAGAATTCTGAGCAAGGCAACAAAAATATTTTACATGTTTTGAGAAAACCCTCTTCTCCATTACCTACTGTGCTTTCATTGTTAATCACACTTATTCTTGGAGGTTGACATCTATAAGCTTCTACAATTTGTTGTCTCCTTTACCCAAGTGTGACTGTTCTTATTTTATTACCTTCATCCTTTATGAGCTTAAGTGGTTGATTGTTAAATTCCCTGTTTAGGGTTTAAGTAGTCACTGTCATTCTGTTGTGTTTATTTTTAGGGTTTCCTGTGTGGAAATTGTTCATCCCTTTGATTTGTTCAGGGAGGTGTTTTCATCCTTTGATTTTTTCAGAGCATGTGTTCATCCCTAGTGAGATTCTAGGGAGGTGTTCATCCTTAGTGGGTTTCTAAGGAGGTGATTGTCTTTTGAATTAGTTTGTTTTTTGCTGAGTTGATTGTAATTTGTGAACTAAATTTAAAAGATAGTGAATTGGGGTCACTCTTGTGTTAAGAGTTGACTGAAAACTGGATATAGGGTTGGCTATACCCGAACCAGTATAAATCATTGTGTGTTCTTCTCTTTCCCTTATCTCTTTTTCACTGCATTACTCTTCTTACACCCCTTATTTTTATCTTTATCTTGTTGATATTTTATCTCTCTGATTATGTCGCTTCCGCTTTATCTTTGTTCAACTTGATAATTAAAATTGAATTAATAAATATTGGACATCTTAAAATAAATTTTTAATTTGGCACCTATTTTAATTTGTGCATCTATTCACCCCCCTCTAGATGTCATTTGTCTAACAAGGTCTCCTCGCTCAAGCGATGAATTTCTCGCTTGAGTGAGAGAGAAATAATCGATCATAATTTTAAATATTTGATTATTTTAAAATTATGATCGATTAGTTTAAATTATAATCGATTATAAATTTCCTCGCTCAAGCGATGGATTTCTTGCTTGAGCGAGAATTGACCACAGGCTAAAAGTCCAACGCAGTTAGCCAATCACTTCTCACTCAAGCAAAATTACTCATCGCTTGAGCGAGAATTGACCACAAGCTAAAAGTCCAACACAGTTAGCCACATAATATAACTTGAGTCAACCCATATTTCAATCACTTCTCGTTCGAGCGAAATTACTCATCGTTTAAGCGCAAAAACACCCTAGGTTACTCATTAGTTCCAGGTCTCCTCGCTCAAGCGAAGGATTTCCTGCTTGAGCGAGAGAACTTCTCGCTCGAGCGAGAATTACATCGCTTAAGCGAAATTAAACCCCACAATACCCCGTTAAGCGAAAGTACCGTGAACAATAAAGAGTGTTAGTTGGATAAATAATGTTCCAGATGTGCTATTTTAGAAAATATTTTTAAAAATAGTATTATTTATGACAAAAAGTCATACTTAACACTCGATCATGACTTTTCTCTTGCATATACTAACTTAAGTTATCATTTTCTTACCTCTATATATTATATTTTTGTGGCTTGACCAAAATTTTATACAAGGAATGTTCCTGTATAAAAATAAATATATTATATCCATATTTAACATTATTATTTGTATTTAAATTTTAGAAAATTAAATTTATTATATCATTTATCATCTTTTTTTATCTTTGAAAAATAGTCAATAATTTTTTAAAAATATTTTTAAACTTCAACTAAATCTTTCTTGTTCACATTCTAACATCAAAATAAAATATCACAAAACATTAAAATAATAAATTAATTTATAATAAATAAATAAAATATATCAATATTTCATATTTTTATACTTAGACATATTAATTTGTTATAATAAAAATAAAAAATATTTTTTTTTATTTTCTTTATTTCAAAATAATTATGGTGAGATATCTCCACCATATTTTTAACTTCTTGTTTTATGTCTTTGATGTGAACAAAAGAAAAAAAACTAAAAAACAAAAAATTATAATTTTTATTTTATAAAGATGAAACTATAAAAATAAAAAAATTAAAAATTAGAAAAAACAACTTACAAATGTTATGCTGTAAGGTAAAGTCATGAAAAAAAGAATATAAAAATGCATGAATGATAAAGAAAAAGATAGAAATATAAAAAGATAAAATAAGTGTAAGATAGAAAAAATTGAAGTGAGAAAATAAAATATAAAAGAAGAAAAGATAAAAAAAAAAACCATGAAGATAGAGGGAAGAAAGAGAAAAAAAATATAAGTATAAAATTGTGTGAGAGAATAAATATGATATTTATTATAAATAAAAAAATAAGAAAAAAAATAAATTTTATTTATACTTATAAAATAATTATTAAATTTTAAAAAAATATTTTTATATATAAATTTTTTTTGGGAATGGGTTATATTTTGTTCCAATATCTAAGTGCTCAAGTAAAGCTTTATTCGGGCAAAGTTGTGACAAGAAATGATTGATGGGTTATGTGTATTGTGAAGCTTAATTTAATTTTTTAATTAATTACTTTTATATAAATATATTATAAGTTTTTATTTAATTTTCAATCAGTTTAAAATTGTTTATAAATTAAAAAAATATATAATTTATTTTAAAATATAAGTCAGACTAAATATTTTTTTTTACATAATTAGGTGGAATCATCCATTTTGATAATATTAATGTTATTAATAATGTATTATAGATTCAAAATATAAACTTTCATTAATAGTTTATATTTTAAAGGAAAGAATATGTTTATCTTCTTATATTTTTTTATAAGCTTGTTGTCCATTATAGTTTCACTATCGATCTTTGTTACTCTTATTAATTGTTAATGATTCTTAGTATAATTATTATTATTATAAATTAAAACTTAATTATTATTGATTACATTATTTTACATACACGACAATAGAACGAAATATTATTTAATTAAGTTGTTTTAATCTTAAAAAATAATAATTTGTTAAGCTTTTTCAATATATTATTTTGTATTTATTTTAAAATATCTATATAAAAAGGAGTTACGAGATATAATCACAAAGTTGACAGTGAGAGCGTGGTTGAGTAAATGGTGAAAGAGAAGGTAATATTAGGGAAGAGAAACATTTAAGTAGAAGTATTAATTAATTATTAAAATAAAACTGAATTATTTTTATAAAAAGTTAAGCTAAAATATTTTTTTAGTCTATTTTTAAAAATTTTAAAATAGTGTTGAATAGCTTAAACTATTATAAGAGGTGAAAAATTTATTTACATAATTATCCATTATTTATTCTTGAAGTTGCTTATTCTTTTAGGTAATTTTTCAATTGTGGTTTCGTTATCCCTAAAACTAAATTTATGTAGTAAAATTTGTTTAAATATTAAGAATGCATCCCAATAAATCAATAACTACTTGGTAGGAAATATAACATCATTTTATCGTTTAAACGACTATTTTTAAAAAATCGAGTCTAATTTATAAAAATCTAATTAACATAAAAATTTTACATATATTGATGACTAATATAGTATTATTAGTTTTTACAAACTATTTTTCTTGTTTAGTTCGATTTTTATATAATTTAGTTAACTTCCACTCATTTAATTACTTTTATAAAGTCCTTGTAAATTCAATCATACGATTTTATTAAAAACAAATCATTTTCTAAAATAAAATTATTGTTTCTTTCTTCAATGCTTCTTTTTTTTTTTAAGACAAATGACCAATTTCATAAGAAAATGTATCAATTGATGGCAATTTAGTCCTTAAGAAAATAGTGTATAAATGTTAAAAAAGTATGAATTAGAAACTTTTTCACTTAATATCAATTTAGTCTTAATAAATACAATTTAGTGTCAAGTTTTTAATATTAATAACAAAATGATCTCACTAAATTTAAAATATTACATCTTAATATGAGATGTCACTAAATTTAATAATAAAACGTAATTACCACATTTTTTTTAAACCAAAATTTTTGTTCTTTCAAGAGTTTTGTTGCTAATTACATATTGAAGAACTTAATTCATCACATATTTATTTATCTATTAAAAGAAAACTACAATTTAACTCTATTTCTCATTCAATTCTGGTCGTTATTATTCTCTTTTCTATTTTCATTCATTCTATTTTCTCATCCACATGTCACACTCTTAACATATACAAAGTTTGAGGGATTTGTGACAGATTGCAAAGGGTCCCTGCAAGAAAGTAAAGTGTTGTAGCCATGGAGTTTGGCAATTGACATTTAACAGGTAGTGGCACTCCACACGGCTACACATGGTCCCAACTCTAGCTGCTAAGGCCATGCCTTCCAATCCCATCTAAGCAAAATTAATTTCTTCTTTGGTCAACAACATGCTAGCAGCCACCACAAAGGAGCTTATCATGCTATCACTTTGCCACCCATACATTGTCTTAATGCAAAACTTTTTTTCTTCCTTTTGCATAAGGTAATGTACTAATGGTGTAGCTACCCCTGCATTCTACCTACACTCTAGATCCTCAAATTATGTAATAGAGGTTTCACTATTGAGGGTGTGGCATGTGATACTGTATCATGCAGCTTCTTATTCAAAACAGAACAGAAGTATTGAATATTTCGCTTTGCATTAATCAATCTCTTTCCGTACTCTCGTTTACTTTAATGGATGCTTTACCACCATTTGTCTTCCCTCTGACAATAAAATTTGAACCAAGCCTATCTCCCATTCATTGAATTTAGTTTATATTATATTGCAATTAATCCTCTAGCATTGTATATATATACACACACAATCAAACTTTTAGGCCAAGACCTCAGTCATCTCTTTCACACCTAACAAGCATGAAGCTTTCAAGAGTGCGTACATGTATAATTCCAACTTTGCTCGTTTTTTTTATGATCTTGTTAGATTCAGCATCAACAAGAGCTCAAGAAATGGAAGAAGTTGGTAACTTTCATGCAGAAATTTTTGTTTCGTTTACTGTTATTATTATAGTCATTAAACTAAGTTTTTTCTGCTATGTGAAACATTATTGGAGAAATGTTACTGTGCAGTGGACGAAAGGGAGTTTGATTACATGAGAGGAAGTAAAAAGGGACCTGATCACTGGGGAGAGATAAAGAAAGAATGGTCAGCATGTAAACATGGAGACATGCAATCTCCCATAGACTTGTCATGTGCCAGAGTCAAAATTATCCCTCGCTGTCAACAACTCCACACTGATTACTTTTCTTCTAATGCCACCATGATCAACAGAGGCCATGATATTGCTGTCAGCACCTCTATGCTCATTATTTCTCTTCTGTTTTCCTCTTACAATTATCCTTCTTCTCTCACAAAACTCAAACTTTGATTGCCATGTGACATGAGATTAGCTGTATCTGCTATTATTTGTTTTTATGAATTATTACTACCATGTATACTTTTGTTTCATGAATAGCATGATGCACAATCTTATGTAATTTTGCGGTTGCAGGTATATTGGAAGGGTGATGCTGGCTCAATACACATCAATGGAACCGAATTCTTTCTGAAACAATGTCATTGGCACTCTCCTTCTGAACATTCCATCAATGGCAGGAAGTCTGTCTTTGCCTCTTTCTTGTTTAATAATTAATGATTTTATGAGAAGTATAGAGTATATTATAATCTGTACTTTCATTTAAAGGAGACAACAAGAAAAATTTTAAAAATTGAAACATTTATTGAAATGGGTGAGACATCTTATGATGAACTATGCCTTTTTTTTGTTGTTGATACAATAGGTATGACTTGGAGATGCACATGGTGCATGCAAGTGGGGAAAACAAGATTTGTGTGGTTGGTGCTTTCTATAAGATTGGTCATCGCCCTGATCGTTTTCTCTCTCGGGTAATTAATCACTCAATTCTGCATTCATAGTTTCCATTGTTACTCTAAAGGCAAGAAGGAAGTAGTAATAAAAGTGTCTGAAAATTCAGGTGGAGAAAGATATGAAGCAGCTGGTTGATGAAGAAGTAGAGAGAGAAATTGGAGAGACAAATCCCTCAGGAATACAGACAAGAGGCAATATGTATTACAGATACTTAGGCTCACTCACCACTCCTCCTTGCACTGAAGGTGTCATCTGGAACATTGATAGAAAGGTACAAATTACTAAAATTATTCCTGTTACTTTGAAAATGTTTTTTTTTTCTTCTAAAATATAATTTTAGTTTTCTACTATCAATTTTTTGTTTGATATTGTCATATTTCTCTTATTTTCTAGAGTATATCCATATAATTGATTTGGAATTTTCCAAGTATCCTATTCAGATAAGGACAGTTTCGGAAGCACAAGTGAGGCTTCTGAGGGAGGCAGTGCATGATGTGAGTCCTTCAATGTGCAATTATTCAATTTGTGATTCCAAAATTAAATAGATAGATATGATAATTCATGAGTTGCACCATGAACAGTTTCATTTCATTCATTCAAGAACTCTCCTGCAAACACTTCATTCAACTTATTTATTCTTCTTTCACCAACTTTGCAGCATGCAGAGAGGAATTCCAGACCAAGGCAGCCACGTAACCAAAGAGATATATTATACTTCCGATTCAAAAGCAGAGCAAATCAAAAAAATAAATTCTGAGCTTGATTTTGTGGTACATTTGCATCATCATGATGTTGTTTAGAGACATTCCTTATTACTTTCATATGAAAATATTCGTAGTTTGGTGTTTCATGATTGGAAATTGTTCATGGAAAAAAAAAAACTACAACCAATGTAATATACGAATACTTAAACAATTAATAATTGAGGTTTCATGAATATTTCAACGACCAACATGTGATGTAATATATAAAATGCTACATAATATTTTATATACTACATACTGAGGTAATATAATTCATATTTATAAAAATACCGATGTAATATTTTTTATTATTTATAAAATTATTATTATATTTTATATTAGATTGATTATTACATAATTATTATCATATCATGTTGTAAAATATACACTATATTAGGTTTTTTTCTTTGAGTTTATATTTTTTAATCAAATTTGTATGTTCATTTAATATAGTGAATTTGAGAAAATTACTAAAGATTTTGGAATAAAATTATTTTTAAAATCTATTAAATTCAACTCTAAGCCTTTAATAACTCTTTAGTTTTGAATTAACTTTTCAACTATGCCTAATGGAACTTAATACAGTACAATACGAGTATGTTTGGATGATAAACTCTTTTAGAAAACAAAATTAACTTTTTCATAAATTAAATTTAGTTATGCACAAGTCAAAAATTATTACTACATCTTATATTACATTCTTAATATTTATAAAATTATCTCTACATCATAAATTGATTATTAGATAACCGATCGTCTTGCACTAGCACTAGTATATACGTGAGTAACTTATATATTTCAATATTCTCATTCTAAGTTTTTAATAGAATTGCATTTTAATATAAACCATAACAATTCAAATAATAAGAAGAAGAAGAATTAGAATAAGAATTTATATGATTACATAAACACACCAAAATTAAATTATTACATGCAAAATCCTATGGGTAAAGAATTTTCAATAGAGAAATAAATGACGTGGTAAATTTATTCCTTGCGTCTTGGTCCATAGAGTTGTATCCCTCGTCTATTCAGGGCTTGTATAGGTCTGGAATTCTTCTCTGCATGCTGCCATAAACATTTTTATTTTAATTTATATGTTTCTGTTTGTTCATCATCATTAGTGCATTAAATCAGAGTAGAATACTTACATCGTGGACAGCCTCTCTCAGTAATTCCACCTGTGCCCTCGACACACTTCTTATCTGAGCAACATATGCAGGTTTTAAGTTTTAATTAACCAAGTAATTATAATATTTAGTCATAATAATAATAATAATACCTTTTTATTGATAGTCCAAATGACACCTTCAGTGCAAGGAGGAACAGTGAGGGAGCCAATGTATCTGTAGTACTTCTTCCCACCCAGCTTAATTTCTGACGGATCAAACACCCCAATTTTCTCTTCTGCTGCTTCATCCACCATGCTTTTTATGATTTTTGACAACTGAAACCATTTCAACCAATATTTTTAGCATGAGACCGCTGTTGAATCTTTCGACCAAATTCACGACACATGAGTACAATCCACGTCTTAAGATATTAAGTTATGCATCATTACTCAACTTTCTCAGTCAAATTCACACTTATATTTTCCAACATTAACGAATGTTTTCTCCAAACAAGTTATTACCTTGTTGAGAATGGGATCGGGTCGACCAATCTTGAACAGAACTCCAACAACAGCAATCATGCTTCTTCCATTTTTTCTTTTACTTTCATGAACCATGTGGAGCTCCAAGTCATACCTAATGTTCAGTTTTTCAAAACACAAGTTTTGATTTTTATTTTTATCAAATGAAAAGAGAAAACAAAAGACTTAACACCTAGGTTTAGAAGCCTCTCTAATTTAGTGTTTAAAGCAACACAAACCTCCTTCCATTGATGGTATGTTCTGAAGGAGAGTGCCAATGGCATTGATGCAGAAAAAATTCGGTGCCGTTGATGTTCATTGATCCAGCATCTTTCTCCCATTTCAACTGCAACATTACGTAAAAAAATTATAAATTAAAAAAGAGTTCAGATTTTAATCAAATTTATTTGACCAACCTAATTAATTTATATAACATTTCATATCTCAATGTGGAAAAAATTAATGCTAGCTAGCAAAGATATGAATGACAGTTAATTGCTTGCGCAGGTTGAGCTGTCTATAATTTAGAAAACCTACGCTGAATCATAAAAAATGTTTCATCTTTTATTTTATGCAAACCCTTCATCACCTTTGCACACATCACTGTAAATGTTTTGATGCATGTGCAAGACAGATAAGAAAACACTGTCAAGGAGCGAGGAGTACGAGATTTTTGTTAAACAATAATTCTACATGTCTTCTAGTTAAATGAAAAATATGAGTATTACTATTATATTTTTATATTCTTTAACATATTAGATTTTCCCTTTTTTTATGAATGTTTTGTTTAGTAAAAAGGCCAGATTATGAAATATATGGCATTTTTTTTGTTGAGTATTTATGTAAATATAAATTAGGGATAAATAATTTATTTTTCCTTTTTAAATTTATTTATTATAAAAAAATAACCAGACCAAATCTATTGAATTTTATGAATAATTAATGATTCTTTTGTTATTTTTTTTAAATTCAATGCATTTTCTTGTGATATTAAAAAGTTCACAATTAATCCAATAAATTTTGTCATAGTTTTACCTTTTCTTAAAAATTCAAAAGTTTTCCAAAATATTTTTTTATTTTTGTTTTACAACATTTCTTTCCCGAAATCATTTTAAAAAAATGGATTAATTTTTTTATTATTTTTTTAATAAATCAAATTAGATAAATTTATCATATCTTTTATGTGATCCTAATTAACATGAACGAGAGAGATATAACAGACACAGTTTTTTTTTCTTCTTTTCCTGGGATAAACTTTTCTCTTTTGTTATTACATTTGTTTTATCTGTCTGCTTACACCCAAACAAACAAATAAAACCAAAGAAAGTTAGAAATGTAATAAAAAAGAGAAACAAAAGAAAAAGTTGATGTAAATAAAAGTAAGAGAAAAAGAAAAAAAATGATAGCCTTTTGAAATTGTTAACCCCATGATTCTGTACAACTAAATATCTATCATAATATGAGGATGCATGATTGGACTTTGAAACTATCATGTCTCTTCCACTCTCTTTGAATTGTAGGTGGGTTCAGTTCAGGAATATCAGCATTTTCTGATGAGAAGAAAACTGTCACAAAAAAGTTGTTTCTGATATTTTTCTTATTTGAAACACAAAACAAAGTTTGAAGCATGTTTTGAGGTTTTGAGATATTGATTTTGTTGATTGATTACCTCAATATCATGGCCTCTGTTCTTGACAGTGGCATTCTGGGGCTTATAGTGCTTCTTCAGCTCCCCCAACTTTGGCACCACTCTCACCCTGTGGCTTGACAAATCAATTGGAGACTGCATTTTCCCACTTTTACATGTTTCCCATTCCTTCTTCAGTTCCCCCCAGTGTGAAGGACCCTTCTCACTCCCTTTTATGTAATCAAACTCACTCTCATCCTCTGCAACCACATACACCATCAAGTTAAGTCACAGTGGATGAATCAAAAGAAAGGAAATTGAAGACTTGTTCCACTTACCAACTTCCTGTGCACTGATCCATCTTGTTGAATGGAGTAGGATGATTGCAAGTATTATGACATTCGGAAGAAAAACTCTACACCTGATTTGATGATTCATGATGATTTCAAAGGATGAAGATTGAGATTTCCAAAGTTTGAATCAATAAAATTGAAGAAGATGAAAAAGGGATATATTCTGAGACATGGAAGGCATTAGGGATACTATATATATATATATATATATATATATATATATATATATATATATATATATATACACACACACACGTTGGCTTGGCAGGCATTAAAATGTTTTATGGGTTGGTGAGAGAAAGCGAAACCTCCCAAGTCAAAGACAGAGAATTTCAGTTTCCAAATTTAATTTTTCTTCACTTTCCAGTTTTTATATTTAACTAACTACCATAATTTGAAATTTTTATTATAATGTTTTTAACTTTTTATCATCATATTTCTTTCAAACTTTATAATACCGTGAAAAAACAAATAATTTAATTCCGTATAGGAATAGCGACCTTCTCTCGTAACATTATTTTTACTCTTGAATTCTTATTTATGATTTTATTGTTAGTGAATTAATAGAAAAAAATATATAAATTAATTTTAATATGAACTCTTAATCGATGTTTTTTACTTTTTTTTTAACTGTAAAATTCATGAAATATGGAGTCATAAAATATATAATTGAATTATTCCATTTGTCGTACTTGAAATGTGAACTCGGAATGTTGAGAGTCCGAGTCCAAAGAAGACTGGTTGTCCATTTATATGATAATTTAGGGGAAAAAATGAAGCATGAGTAAACGTCTATATAAAGTTATTAAAAAAAAATTGGACTAACTAAATTCAAATCCATGTTTTCTTCCTTTATTTTTGGGAAGGAATTTAATAAGTAACACACAATATAATAATAATAATAATAATACATCTTGTTTCTAGTTTCCACGAAGAACAACAAAAATAATAATACCGAGAAACTCGATCGACAGTAGATATAATTAGAAGATGTTTTGGATCTTAGAAAAAAACAATTTATAATTTAAAAAGTCATTTAAAATCTTATAAATAATAAAAATTTTAAAATATGAATGGTTTATTTATTATCATTTTGATTATATTTTTTTCATGTTTTTAATATTAGGCTGGACAATAAATCAATCAAGGAAAAGGAAAAAAAAAGGATGTGAATTGGATCAATGCATCGTCCAATTTCAAATGATAACAAAATACAATTTTAAATACTAGAAGAAGATCATGAAACATATCCAATAAATATATTACTTAATTATTTTATTTCTTTTAGGAAGAAATAAAATAATTAAAGAATGATAAAACTATAACTGAGGTTAACAAAAAATAATTCATTATTAAAATAAGATATATTTAAACTATTAAAACATATATATTTAAAATTTA